ATGGCTATTTTTTTATGCCTCTGAGTGTCCCCTCTTAATTAATCAGCTGATTCGAGTCAAAGCGCACAGGTTAATTTCGAAATTTGACAGCGATAATTGCCACATTTTTAAATATTTTTCAATAAAAATTTTATCTTACATTACTAAATATACATATAATAAACTGGTAAAACTTCATTTTGATAATCCTAATACTTTCTAAGAAAAAAATTCAGGAATACCTATATGGCTATTTTTTTATGCCTCTGAGTGTCCCCTCTTAATTAATCAGCTGATTCGAGTCGAAGCGCACAGGTGGAATTAATCGAAAGGCAGGGAGTTGAACGGATAAAGTTGCACGGAAGTTGCTTCAATTAATTGGCCGTCAAAATACATCTTTGTTCATTTCTACGGGCGATTTAAGCCGGACTGAAACTGACGAAGCGATCGCGATATTTCAAAAGTTCACGTCGACGTACGAGAATTCGAATGACAGTTCTTATACTCGAATTCGCGTATTCCACAAATCTCTCCGGAACATGACAAAGCGAGCGGAAGAGATTTGTCGAGTATATATATATATATATATATATATATATATAATGTGTACGTTATATAGTTAGTCTCTCTTAACGACGACGATTCAGTTCGCGCGTTAACACGCAGATGGACCGCTTCTTCTTCCTCTCCGCAATCGCGCAATAATATAATAATAATATCTCTCGACTATCTTCCCCACGCTTTCCAAACTGCAAAACGTGAGAACCCGGTCCCCAGGAGGCATCCTCGTTATCGCAACCCCCGTCCCCACCTCCTCGAACGGAGGCATCCTCGGAGTTCCACGATTCGACTCTCTCGACGTTACAAAACGGCGCGGCCTTGAGGCCTCAAGTTTCTCCAAAGAGACCGGGATCGGATGCACACAGGGATTCCGATCGGCAGGCTTCGCGAGCTTCGAGACAAGTAACGGACGGACAGGTGCGCCACATTCCATTAAACGGCACTACTCCGGCTGCACTGATGACGACGACGATGACGAAGATGATGATGACGATGGCGGGGTCGACTTGTCCTTCGCTCGCGAGAACCTCGTTCCGTTCTTCTCGTATAAAAAAAGGGGGGCACATATGAACGTCCGCAAGATTTTTTTCCAGGGGGAGAAGATGGTTAAAATTTCTTCTTTCCTATTTTCTTCCTTAATTTTTTAAAATTATTTTGTTAATTTCTATCATTTCTTTTTATATTAACAATAAGAGGAGCGCCTGTTTTAGAGGACCAAACAATAAGATTGATTTTTGAGAATTTTTTTGGACAAATTTTACAGCGAATTATTCCGAACTTTTAGGCATCTATTATTAAATATTTATAAGTGTAAAAAAATGTTTTTTAGTTAAAAATATAGGACTACGATAGTATATCTCTCGTTTAAAATTAAAAAACTATAACAATTTTCTTATTTATAAAATTACATTGTCGATGAACCTTTAACTTATTAATAACAAAAATAATTCAAACAATTTTTTCGTATCAATAAATTAAAAAATGTACCTGAAAATCATACTATAATTCGTTCTAAGCTCGACTATATTGTCAATTTTATTTTTTTTCTTATATGGGTAATTCATCAACAATATAATTTCATAATTCATAAGTAATAATAAAATTTTGGGATTTTTAATTTCAAACGAGATTTGGAGATATGACAATGCCGGCAAATTTGCAACTCCGGCTGCAAGAAAATTTTTATTAGAGCGATCTCTACAGAATCATTTAACCAAACAATTTTTTTTGTATTTATAAATGTTTAGTAATAAATGCCTAAAAGTTCTTAGAATGATCTGCTATGCAGTTTTTATAAAAAAATCTAAAAAAAAAACACCTTATTTTTAGCTTTCTATAAATTCCAGTGTTTCTTCAAAAAGAGAGCAAATGCGTAATTTTTTTATTGATTCCAAGAGAGTACAAATGCCTCTGCGAACACTCGTGGGCACGGATATACGTGCGGGAATGTCAGCGATCGAATTTTTCGCGCCATTTGTATGCCTCGAAGATGTGGACAGTCGCCTTCGATTTTACGTGGATCGAACGAACAAAAGACGCCAATCAATCCTGCTTTCACTCAAGAATCGGGAAGCATTCAATTAATGCGCGACGGTGCGCTTTAACTTTACGGTACTCTCTTCGAGAAATTTTTTTATTCTTCCTTCTCCCTTCGAACTTTAAAGCTGGGAGGATTAAGTTTGGAATTCTCTTCCTTTGTAATGTTCGCGCGCGCGCGAGTTCTCGAAAAGAAAAAAATACAGTTCGATCGCTATTATACCAAACTCCTCAATCGTAGAAGGCTGGAAGCGGGAATGAAAGGGAATTAGAGTAGCGCCGGGAATAAGTACAATGGCGTTCATTTGCATATTACGTTATAGAAGGCACGAGCGAAAAGGTATGAAAAATTTTCACGGCAGTTACGTCATTATTGTGTATTTTTTCCGCCTGCAATTAGCATTATTTAAATTTCACCGATGTGCGAAAAGAGTTTTATGATTGTTCGCTCCCTCTTTCTCTCTTCGTGGTTCACGCAGAATCAATCTTCATCTTTTCCGACGTCCCGTGCGGGAAATTGGATCTATTTAAAAAAAAATTTGGAATATAAAAAAATGCATCGCATGCAAATCGATCGACCTACATTTGAAAAAAAATAAAGATTGCCGAAGGCCCCAACTAGAGAGAGAACAATATTCATTTCGTCATTCTATAACTAACTTGCTTGAGAATCTTATGCGAGCACTTAAGCGAAACGAACACCGTTCTTATATTCCCGTCTAGTTTTCTTGTTTTTTTTCCCTTTTAATGAACAATGCGCGTCCTCTGTTTTGCTTAACTTGATTTTTAGTTCATGGTACAGCGTGGGATGAAGATAGCTGGATCTGACCTGGTTCCGACAGATCGATCTCGACTCGGCGTATCTCGCGAATGTACCTAAGCTATCATTTCAATATTAAACTCCGATTTTCTCGTATTGTTTATGAATCATGTCCGTCAAGAAGAGAGAGAGAAAGAGAGAGAAAGGGCGAGCAGGCAAGCATACTGCTAATATATATATCGACAGCAGAATGGAATTGGAAAATATATACAGAGTGTTTCATAAGTTCTGGGCAAATTTCAGGCATGGATTCCTCATGCTTATAGAGAAGAACAAAGTTATGTCAACATATCTATAATATAGCAACTAATCATTTCTGAGTCTAATATCCTTCCTGTGGATATAACTTTTCTCTCCTCTATGTATGAAGAATCTATTCCTGAAATTTCGCCCATCACTTAAAAAACACCCTGTATAGAAACAATTTTATGCTTGGCATATGGATGCAAGAAAGTAAGTATTATTTGCAAAATTGTTCTCTTCACTTCGAAAGAAAGACGGAGAAAGAGAGAGCACAAAAAGGATCAGATAGATCGAGGTCGACTTAATCTACGGAACTGCTGTGAACTGTCGGTTCTAAGTGGTGTAAGTTAGTAAGGTAGTTCTAAGCAGTAGCCCGAAGGCTCTCCGCGCTTAGAACACAAACGTGTTACGTGAATGAAACGTGGAACCGGACGACGACGTTTAGCAACGAATGTGGAGCGGGAATAAAGTAATATATCAGTGCGTCGAATACGTAAATAACAACAGTATTTATGAACACATGTACGTCTGTGTTCTCTCATGTCAGATAATTCTCAAGATATGAATGAATAATTTATTGTCTCTGTGCGAACGCGTAAATGTCAGATGGAGAAAAGACACGTATGCGAACTTTTAATAGAATACAGATGTATTAATTAATACGATATTAATTAATTCTGCTTTGAATTTTTTGAAATATTGCGCGAAAATTTTTTTCTTTCTTTCCCGGATGTTTTGTATAAGGCGCATCTGAATTTTTCCGATGGAATTTTTTCGGTATTGGAATTTCTCGTGAAATAAAAGATCGTAATTTTCTTAATAAGTATTTAACATCCAGGTGAATCGCCTTCTACAATAAACTTGAAATTATGAAACCTCATTTCCTTCGCTATACGAAGAGAGATAAGAAGGAAAAATAAAGAAAAATTTTCACGTATTTTTCTCTATTATGACTACCAGCGCGGAAAATTTATGCGCGTACGTATACATTATACACTTTTAAAATTGAATTTTTATTAAGTCTTTTTTATAGAGTCGCGTGAATTGACTTTTCAGTTTGGCCGAAAATGATTTTTTTCCCTCGGTCTTTTCTCTGTAATTTTTCACAAGGTTCGAAAAAGATAAAAGAGGTCGACGCGCAGGAAAACGCGATGCACGGAATTTATGCCACATTAAATCTCGAGAACTGAATTTTTAATCTTCGAAAAAGGTTCCAGCTTCACCTATTTTTCCCTGTCCTTCCAGCTGTGTATTTTTCGTATTTCGAAGGAAAGAGGACATGCTCCAAAAAGGGCGGGACGTGAAAATCGAGCGCAAAATTTTAAGTATATCATTTTTTTTAATTCGTAAAATTTTGAAATTCTTTTATTAATTAAAAAAAAAAATTCCACGGGATGCGAAGATTGCGCAAGAGAGAAACAAGATTCGCTCGTGCGTTTAATACACGTTCTCGCCACACACATACGTATGCTACGTATTACACATTACACACATACTTGATAGGACCGTTAAGCCACGAGGCCGCATGCTTCTGTGCCCTGCTCGTTTACCCGTGTCTCCCTTGGAAAGGTATCACCCGGGGAAAAGACGTTCTCTCTTCGAATTGGAATGACATTTCGCGATAATAAATTAAAATAAAAAGAATAATAACAATAATACGTAAAAATCGCGACGAGATCCAGCGACAAATCCGACACGGAATACGTGCTCGCGCGAGCGAAGCGAGCGAGGACAGAAGAGGGGACACAGGAGGCAAAGACGTAAGAAAGAGGCTTGTTACCGCGCTTAAACGTGGCACGGGTGCGCTTTTCTGCGAACTCCTTGACACATAGATAATACGTAAGAAATGATGACCACTCACGTTTCGTCGCGTATGATGACACGTATTTCCTTGAGCAAGAGGGGACCAAGTCGTCGCTGATACCAGGCTGGTTCCTCGGAGGATACTCTTCCTCTTGAAATAAACTGTCCTGGGCGCTCTCTCCGGGTCGTGTTGCTCCGAGGATATCACACGTCGAAATCACACAGACACGTTATATACGTTAATTACGCCGGCGCGATAAGGGACGGTATTCTCTCGGATAAGTGACACTTGCATGCGCGAGCGAAATTATCGCAGATTCTCGAGATTCCTCCGCGCGACGTAGAATTCCGCCTTCAAGTATCGCGATCGTAAAAAATCGCGGTGACTCGTGCTTCGAAGGAAGAGAGAGAATCTGCCCCCGATCGTTAACGCGCCTCCACGGGGCGCGACTTCGCCTCGGTTCAGGTTCTCCTCCGCCGGTCGACGACGAGATTCTCCGCGCTCGAGAAGGGAGCGAGAGTAAGAACGTCGCGTTCCGCGGTATAAAATCCCGCGATAAAACGCGTGCACGAGTCGCGAAGGGAGAGAGAGAGAGAGAGAGATGGACGACGCGTAAGTTTATTAAAGCGAACTCGGTCGATTTTCCCGTCCCGATACGCACCTTTCTTGCCACGCCGAGATCCAGCCAATTAACGTCGCCCGGTGCAGGGAGAACGTACTCGCGGACCGTACATCGTCGTCCGTCCTCGCACTTCTGAACGCAGGATACGCCTGACGTCGCGCGACGCCGCGCGGAGCGAAACGAGTGCGACGAGCGCGAACCGAGGTTAGGGCGGTCCGGCCCGAGTGACGGCACGACACCTGTTTGACGTTTGCCGCAACGTCGCGCCACGTATATCGATATCGCGCGCGCGCGCGCGCGCGAGTATCGATAGTCGAAAAACGCGCGATCGATATTTATCGACGCCCATTTTATTTTTTTTTTTCCACTTCCATTTTTTGTTTCTCTTTTTCTCGAAAATCCGAAATATGAAACACTTGAAGGAGAAACTTCATTCGACGTAAAATGAAATGAGAAAACACGCTCTAAAAGGAAATTAATCTCTAATATATATTTTACAAAGGCTGTCTTTTATTAATATCTTATGCTTTTGTAAAATATTTATAGAGATGAATTTTTCTTTAACGTGTTTTCCGGTTCTATTTTATGGCGAATAAAATTTCTTTTTTGAGTGTTTCATATTTTTATATACAGGGATGTGCATTATTTGAGATAGATGCGTTATTTAAAATGGAAATATAAAATGTAAAATGCTTATTTTGAATTTTAAATACGTGTTTTCAAAAACTATGTTATATTTGCATTGAAATGTAAGTAAACATTTTCATTACCTATTTTTTCATTTAAATTCATGTTTCTTGCAAATTAAAAAATTATTCGAAATATCTATATATATAAGCACCGTCTGTCTGTATGTATGTACGCGAACTACTTCCACATTTGTGGACCGATATTCGTGAAACTGGTACCAAAATGTTGCAAATTTTTTGGGGGTGGCTGCTGTGGGGTTTTTTTTTTAATTTTTTAATTTTTTTTTTTTCTACAGAGGAGGGTATGTTTAATCTTTTTTTGCAATATTTCTGAACACATGGTATCAAAATGTTGCAAATTTTTTTGGAGATAACGACGATGCGGTTTTTTTAAGTGTTACACCCCCACCCACGCATCCACCCACGCATCCACCCACACGCATGCGCATTTATGGACCAATTTTCACGAAATTAGTACCAAAATGTTGCAAATTTTTCTGAGGAAACTGGTGTTTTATTTTTTTAAGTTTACGCCTCCACCCACGCAATCATCCACGCGCGTGCGCATTTATGGACCAATATTTTTACGAAATTGGTACAAAAATGTTGCAAATTTTTTGGAGATGGCGACGATGCGGTTTTTTCAAGTGTTACACCTCCACCCACGCACCCACCCACGCGCATGCGCATTTATGACCAATTTTCACGAAATTAGTACCAAAATGTTGCAAATTTTTCTGACAAAGCTGGTGTTTTATTTTTTTAAGTTTACGCCTCCACCCACGCACCCACCCACGCAATCGTATATTTATAAACCGATTTTTTTAAAATTGGTACCAAAATGTTGCAAATTTTTTGAAGATGGCGACGATGTGGTTTTTTCAATTGTTACACCTCCACCCACGCATTCATCCACGCGCGTGCGCATTTATGGACCAATATTTTTATGAAATTGGTACAAAAATGTTGCAAATTTTTTTGAGAAAGCTGCTGTGTGGTTTTTTAAAGTTTTATCCTACCCACGCATTCACCCACGCATTCACACATTTATTCACAGACTTTTTCGAAATTTGTACTCAAATTTTGTTGAGGATGGCTACTATGATTTTAACAAATTTTTATCATCCTATTCATCCACCCACGCACCCATGCACCCATGTGCATACGCATTTATTGACTTGGTCACACCAATAAGTAATTTTAAATAAATTTGTGTACATGTTTGTGATTGCAAAAATTTGCAACATTTTGGTACTAATTTCGTGAAAATTGCATACAAATTAAAGGTTTATTTACACGAATTGCACACATAATCACAAATACGTACACAAATTTTTTAAAAATTACTTCTTGGTGTGACCAAGTCAATAAATGCGTATGCAAATGGGTGCATGGGTGCGTGGGTGGATGAATAGGATGATAAAAATTTGTTAAAATCATAGTAGCCATTCCAACAAAATTTAACTACAAATTTCAAAAAAGTATGTGAATAAATGTGTGAATGCGTGGATGCATGCGTGGGTGGGATAAAACTTAAAAAAACCACACAGCAGCTTTCTCAGAAAAATTTGCAACATTTTGGTACTAATTTCGTGAAAATTGGTCCATAAATGCGCATGCGTGTGGGTGGAGGTGTAACACTTGAAAAAACCACATCGTCGCCAAAAATTTGCAACATTTTGGTACCAATTTTTTAAAAAATCCGTTCATAAATATGCGATTGTGTGGGTGGATGCGTAGGTGAAAGCGTAAACTTAAAAAACCCCACACACATAGAGAGAGAGAGAGAGAGAGAGAGAGAGAGAGAGAGAGAGAGAGAGAGAGAGAGAGAGAGAGAGAGAGAGAGAGAGAGAGAGAGAGAGAGAGAGAGAGAGAGAGAGAGAGAGAGAGAGAGAGAGAGAGAGAGAGAGAGAGCGTGTGTCTTAAAGAAAGAGGGAGGGAGAGAGATAAGGAGAGAGAGAGCATGTGTCTTAAAGAGAGAGAGAGGGAGCGCGTGTGTTTTAGAGTGAGAGAGAGAGAAAGCGTGTCTTAAAAAAAGAAAATAAAATATCTGGGAGAAAGAAATAGATAACATAGTAGTCATCCACAAAAAAATTTAAACATTTATTTTGGTATAAATTTCGTGAAAGTCGAAGAACAAATGTGGAAGTAGTTCGCGGTAATACAAAAAAAGAATTAATTTTTTGTGTTAAAACGGATTTAATATAGACTATATGAGGACCGCGCAAAGCGCGGTCCGAATAGAAAGGCTGGCTTTGAGGACCGCGCGAAGCGCGGTCCGAAAAGCTAGTCAATAATATGTACGTATAACAATCAAAACGTTATTAAATTAATGATTAAGTAAATGTAAACAAAAGCAATATTTTTGTAATTCTACATGTAAATACAGTTATATAATTTTCTGTTTATATTAAAATATATAAAGTTTATATAAAGTTTATAAAACAGCTTATATAAAGAAAATTTATAAAAATTTAATAAAGATAAAATAAGAATTTAAATATATATATATATTTTTTTAAATCTACTGAAAAAATGCTTATTTCCCATTTTCTATTTTAAATAAGTTTGAACACGTATTTTGCACATCGTTGATTATATATGTATATACGACATCCCGTGCATATCTAATTTTTCAGAAGCTTGAAATTTCCTTTCAAACAACATAAATAAATGAAATAACATTTCTACGATCTAAATATTTATCCGCAACGGGGAATAAAGCATCGTCTCGACGCATACATAATTGAATTATAATCGAGGAAACTCGTCGTTGGCTTTTTTTCTTCGTCTTCAAAAAATGGTGCGCGTTCTTGTTCGCGCGGATCGCTCGGTAGATGGCGGCGCCGCTCGGCCGCTATATTGATCAAGTCGAGATTTTCGCGAGAGGAGAGACGCGCGCGTTGTTAAGGATCTCTCTCTATCCGCGTAGTATTTTTCGATCGCGCACGCAATATACTCTCGCCGCGCGACATTTGTGTGCGTGACATTTGTCGCGCGCGGACGGAAATTCGAGCCCGGCTCGCGGTGACGTGCGAATTTCGGCCGGCCGCGAGGTCTCCCGCGGTGCCTTTCAGCGTCGTCGTCGTCGTCGCCGCCGCGTAAACCCTCCCTCGCCCATGACGTCACTCGCGAATTACACAAGCGTCATCGCTCAGTCTGTTGTGGAAAATTTTGTCGAGTTCATGGTGTCTAGGTGCATTGCTTCTTGAACGGACGTCCGGTTCGCGGAGTCTTCCGAGTGTCTCGGCTGAGCGACGAAACTTCTCGTTAATAAAGTGAGCGCTTCACCGATTCTCTTCTGTCTCTTTCGCTCTCTCTCTCTCTCTTTCTCTCTGTCTCTCTCTTTTTTTCCTTCCAGCATATCGTCGTCACGATCGTCACAATTATCAACATCGCCGTTCGTTCACGTCATCGTATCGCAAGCTAGACATCCGTGATGAGATAGATGATAAGAGAACTTTTTTTTACCGCATTATTCAATGTGTCTCGAATCGTTAAATTGGCGTCGTCGAAGCTTGTGATACGTATACGTACCCCTCGACGATGCGACATGTCGCACTTGCGTGACATTTCGCACCTGTGTTTGCGTCGCTTTCGCAACAGAGGAAATGGATAGGTCATATATTTACGGGGCATTTATTTTTATATCGACTAAGATTCTCAGCTAAGATTTTTTTTATCCTAGTATCTTAGTTACGTCATTGAGAGGAAATTATAGTTGCTTGGCCGATTGCGTGGAAATCCTTTTCTTCGTAATAAATTTTAATTTGTCATTTTTATTTCTACACGGAGGTTTTAAATGTATTTTACTTAAAAAGATTATAATAATACGAGATATAACATATGTTGAGTGAAATTTGGGGAGCATGTTCCTATGTAAAACATGAGTTTATGTACGATAGTTATTTCATCATATGACTGTTTGCAATATTTATAAATATTAAATGTTTCACTAATGTTTAATCAATGAAGCGTAATGTTAATCATGTTTTTCTTTCATGTTGCAGTTGAAGTTTACACAAGTAATTCTTATCTCATTGTCACAATGTCTATGCAACAATACTGTTTGCGGTGGAACAATCATCAGCCGAATTTCATCTCGGTCTTCTCCAACCTACTAAATAATGAGACTCTAGTGGATGTTACTCTCGCTGCTGAAGGCAGACAAATTCAGGCTCATAAAGTTGTACTGTCGGCATGCAGCACATACTTTCAGTCACTGTTTACAGTGAACCCTTGTCAGCACCCTATCGTTATACTTAAGGACATCAAGTTTTCAGACCTCAAGATTATGGTAGACTTTATGTACTATGGAGAAGTAAACATATCTCAAGATCAATTACCATCTATTATAAAGGTAAATAAAAATATCTCAGTTATATATATATATATCAGTCATCAGGCAATTTTGCTTATTACTGTTTAATGCTTAATAAACAATAAACTATTTATTTAACAGACGGCAGAAAGCTTAAAGATAAAAGGACTTGCAGAAATGCATACAGCATCGGTAACTAAATGGCCAAGTGGAAGTAGCGAAACAGGTGGAGGGGATCGTGGCGAATCTTGCTCACCCAGTCCATCTCCATTATCTCCTTCTTTTCGTAGAAAAAGATTACGGAAATCTTCTACTGGCTCAACATCTGGTTCTGGCGACAGGCCAGAAGAAATGAATGAAATAACACTAGTGGCTACTAATATTGTAAAGCCTGAACCCCTAATTGCATCGCAAGAAAGTGGAGAGAATTTAAGGCGACCAGTAAATACCAGCACAGAATCTCAAGGCAGTATCGATGAAGATCAAATATCAATTGTAAGTAAATATAATATATTGAACTAATAATGTAAAATGTACATTGTATGTTTAAAATGTTATTCTAATTCTTGAGCAAGTAAAAACGTACATTTGGAATAATATGTGATGTTCTTGCATTTTAGATGAGTAATATGGAAACTAATTCTACTAATACACCAGCGCAGAGTGATGGTTCTATTCAAGACGTAAGTCAGCAGTCGACAGGAGGAAACATTGCGCAAAGTTCTGTCCCTTCGCAACCACCCTCATCTCATCAAGGTAAGATACTGTATTCTATTTTAAGTAGAAATCTTCACAAATATCCAATCACCCAAATAGCATTACCCTTGTAATAAAATGTAAATCGTATATATTATATGCACAAAAAGTATATATTAGAAATTAATGTATAAAGCTCGGAGAGATGCAAATATTTTCATTACGTTTTTATGCTGCATGCATAATTTTGAACATGATTGTAAAATTAAAATTGTTCAATTTTCTTGCATATAGATGTTATTTAAATATGTTTCTCTTTTTAAAATATATACATATATGCTTTTCTGTAATTTTTTTTAGTTTTTGTATAAAATTATAATTTGCTTATATTTACAATGTATTATTTATTTGATCAATTATAAAAAAGTTTAGATATATTTTTCTAAAGATTATATAAAAATATAAGAAAATATATTTAAAAAAATAAGAATATATATAAGAAAATATATAATAGGACAATCAATTTTGTATGATTTAATGTCTAATGTTATATATTTATATGTATGATATATATAATATATATTTTAAATTGAGACTGAAAAAGCACGCGCGTGCGCTTTAAATTTTTTCTTAATTTGAATTGAAAGAAAAATTATTTATGGAAATACATAGAATATATGTATATATATATGGTATATATAAAATTTGAGACAATATATATATATATATATATATATATATATATTTATTCTATGTTTAAATATTGAAATTTGAGACAAAATATATATATATATATATATTGTCTCAACTTTCAATATTTAAACATAGAATATATATATATATATATATATATATATATATATATTGTCTCAAATTTTATTATTTAAACAAACATTTATATTGTTTAATATTGTTGTAAGATAAGTCAGGTACATTATTAGATTGATCAATAGTATTAGTAATCTAGATCTGACCGTGTGTATAGAAGTGTGGAAGTTTAAAGATAAGATTTTTTTATTTGACGGAATGTGTCACGCGCAAATTAACTTATATGGTAGATTTAACAATATGGTTTTCCTTATTAGATTGTGCATTGTAAGTCTGCGTAACGATCCAACAACTTCGACAAATTGCATGACAGCTCCCTTTTCGGCAAAAATCTCCGATAATTGTTATTTGAATTATGCATATATATATGTACTGACTGTGGTGGGTATTGAAATTGCATGTCGATAAGCGAAATTTACACACATTATATTATGCTGGCACAGATGCGTTTAAATGTATTGCACAAGGAGAATCAACAGACGTTTGACATGAAAATAGAGCGAAATTTCAGGAATTGAAATTTTACAATATTGATAATAATGATAAAAATAATGCGAATGTGCAAAAAAGAAAAAAAAATATTGTTTCTCTCATTCATGAAAGAAGATCATCATGGTACACAGATACATAGCACACAAATATGTTATATTTCCGGAAAAAGATATACCGGGCCTTCAATTAAAATACATAATTAATAGAGTGTGTATGTGTGCCACTATACTCTGCCCTATAAAAATGTAATAAATTTTATACGTGCATTTCAGTATTTCGAATAATGATGTGCTTAAAAATGTATCTGTGCCATGCCGCAACTTCATATTTAATACGCTCATGTATCGTTTCTTCACAAGATTTTTTTTTTAAATATCTCTATCATCTTTCGCTTTCTTAGAGCTTAGTATCGTTTTTTCTATATATCATAGAATAAACTCTATTTTTTTTATTAGATTATAATTATATTTATGTATGCCTTGTTTTATATGAAGATATGCTGATATATTGAATATTATTCTTCTCTCATAGTTTAACATTGTTATCAATGGCATAATATAATCATGTAAAAGTTGCATCTTTAATTGAATAGATTTTTACGTAATATACAGGTAAAATAAATGTTTTGTGGGAATATACATATAAAAATTAAGCGAAGCAGAGTGATTTTTGAATAATTTTCTCGTCATGTCAAAGCAAATTGAAATATTCGGAATATCTCTTTTTCTCTTTTCCTCTCTCTCGGATCGTTGTTTACAATCAATTAAAAATAATTCATATTATTGTGTAATATCATATTACTCTCACTCTTTACCATTTATCTTAATCGTAAACACGCAACGTATCAGCGGATTGATAATTCCTGTGCTCTGACCAAAGATGAATCGGTCTGTTCTACAGGATTACAATGGACTATTATGGAGCACACATATCATCCGACACGTTTCGCTCTGTCCTCGTGTCAAACGAATCTGTCGATCCAAGCTTCGTCGGCGTTCACGACGCCCGAAATAACAGCATCCCTCGACCATCAGCGATCAGTACTCTGGTACCAGCACGACTGGTTCCAGTTGCGACCTGACGAACTATCCAAACTCCTCCCACGGGACGTTGCAGCACGCGTCGTCGTCGTCAGGCGGCGGCGGCG